TATGTTGCCAATTTTTTTACATGATATTTTATGATTTGGGCATCTTGTGCTTAAAATAAACATAATTTCAATTCTATCTATGTGACGATGTTAGTATATCATTCTCTAATATATTTATAAGTTAATAGTTAATATGTTAATTTTTAGCATTATTTTTTTTGCTCTACACAATTTTTTAATTGTAAGGGTTATGTCTCAAAATGACTTGAAACTTGCGCCACACCTCACAGAAAAAATAATGTCTCAGTACCAATTGTATAACATTAAATCTTAAACCATAAAATTTTTTCTGACTATGATTAGAGTAAAAGAGCTGAAAAAAAATTTTTGCAATTTTTTTAGGTGAATTGAAATCCACGCACAATTTTTTGATGTGATTGAAATAAAAGACCCAACAGTGGAGTTTTAAATATCACTCATACACATTTCTTAGTATTGTGAGTAAGCTAAACACCTCGTAGAAGCCCTCTAAATGGAAAAGATGACGAGAGACTACCAAATTTCTCAACTAAAAACAAAACTTTTTGATCTAATAAACACAATTAAAATTAAGAAAAAAATGTAGATTAACCTTAAATAAACACTCAAAATGAAAGGTATCTATGTTGATCAATTAAAAAGAGCCATAACATCAAGAAAAAGAATCAACAAAATACCCCCCCCCCCCCCCCCCCAAAAGAAAGTCACTAAATTTACAACTTGCTTACGATGAAGTTGTAAACTCATTGATGAGTGCAGAGCTCATTAACTACATTACAAAATTTCTCGAATACTCAAGAACATGCTCAACAAAAAAAACTTAAAATAGAAAATAATTGGAGGAACAATTCTTAGTGAGGCCCATCTGAGTAAAATATGTTATATATAAACAAATCATACTTTTTTAAAATACAAAATATATTCTATCTTGCAGCATTCACAATCGAATCAGCAAACCAACAAATGCAAGCAGACCCACTCATGTGGGGCGATAACAGCGCCATAATGCGGGGCGCTAATTGTGCCCCTATAGTGGGGCA